TAGGGAATGAACTACAACCAATAAAATAAATAGATCCTAACTAGGTAACACTCACTCACTTATCTATCATTTACATTACTCTACCATTTAAAACTTATATGTTTAATACATGAAAAAAAAAATACATTATTTATAGTATCTAAATATTTAAAATTTTAAATTCCGACATCAGAAGACTTATTTCAAAGTTTCAATTTTAATAATTTAAAAGTATAATTTTTTTTTCAAAGGAAGGGTGGCGCGGCTGGTGGGCGGGCTCTTGGGCAGGGTTTTAATTGGGTTTTTCGAATGAACTATTGAGTCGGGCTTTCAGGCCAAGTAATGGTTTGAGAGTAAACCCAAGTTCTCTTTTTAAGGATATTGGGCTCGGCCTTGGGCAAGCCTATCAGGTTTCCAGCCTATTTTTTTTTTGGGTTGGGTAACGGGACCGTAGGTAACCCAACCCGTGAACACCGCTGCTGGGCTTCATCCCTCAGTCCACTCCACTCCTTTAAAGTCAAACTAAACCATTACCAAGCAACCTCATAAACCCTCAAGTCCTGCCTCAAAAATGGTGAGGCCCTCAATGGGTTATTCCTTAGTTTCTCCCCCAACACTCGCTTAAATCACTCATCACTGACTTGCCTCACTTGCTACCAGTTCATCGTCTTCAACATGTAACACAACAATGAAGGCATCTTTGACGTTCTATTATGCTACAATGCTCTTGTCGTTACCTGACCTCCAACCATCCTCCGCCTTCTCAATCCTTTCCCACCTATGTGCAAAAAGCATGAGATTTCGACCCCCAGCAGAGGCGGATTTACAGTGAGGGCAATTGCCCTCATTGAAATTTTAAAAATATTTGGGGAGTAAGGTAAAATTTTAAAATTTGTTAAAAGAAGGTAAAATTTTAGAATTTATTAAAAGTTATCCCCACGTAATTTTTTTTTAAAAAAAATTTGGAAAGTAAGGTGAAATGTTTGAAATTTTAGAATCTGTTAGAAGTTGTCCCAATTGGAAATATTTTAAACTCAAGACTAGTCATGTATTTTCTCAAACATGTGTGGTTCTTTAGTCTTTAGCAACAACAAAAAATATTTTTACTTTTATTTTTTAGAGATCACAGTGATTTCAAGAATTTTACTCCTACAATTCGGAATTTGGTCTCCCTAATCACACACACACACACACACATATATATATTTTGTTGTGCTATTTTTGTATGATAAATTAATATAGAGAATTGCAAATTGTTAAATTTAATGGGATTGTTATATTTAGAATTTAAATGTTATGGACTATTTTTTGGATTAAACCATTTGGTTCGGTGGGTTTATTTTAGCTCAATCCAATTTAACCCAGCCCATAATCAATCCAACCCACTCATTTGCCACCTCTAGGTTTAAGGAATCTGATTGTGAGAAATTAGGTTGTTTGAATGTCTAAATTTGATTTACTAGACTTGTATTTATGTTAAAAATTGTTTGACTTCCTAAACTATTTTGATTGATTAGAATTGAATAATGAATTATTTTTGATAAGTATTTCTTAGCGAGGAATATAGTAAAAAAATCGAGAGATCAGTAGATGAATGATTACTTGGCTGCATATGTTGAGAAAAAATTTGCAAATATCATTTGTGAAAACTTGTTGAAACAATTATGAAGATTTTTAAGAATTTGGATTTTCCATGTATTGAATCAATTTATTATTGGGCACTATTTTTACAAAAGTATTTGTTTGATACAATTTTATAGTGAACTTTTTTTTATCGACTTCTTTTATATATTGCTTGTATATATTATTTTGATGAAACTATATTTTTGTAAAATAGTGTTAACACTCCAAATTTGAGTATTCATATATTGAAGATTGCCCCACTAAAGTTAGAGTATGGCTTTACTGCTTACCCCCAGCCCTAGGACATCACATATCAGTTGAAGATGACAAATTTTGGGTTGCCATGGCCTTCATTCTTGCGAAGAGGAGGAGGTGGACTTATCTTGAAAGACAGACAGAGGAGGACAAGGGCTTTTAAGATATAGGTTTTGTAACGCCCCGATTTTTCTCTTCTTTTTGGAGATGTTAATTGATATAAAAAGACCCAAATAAAAATAACAGAGCGTTAATTGTCCCAATAAAATTTTATTTATCAAAATCATCTTCCAATACAAACAAATATCAATTATGTTATCTCCTCGTCTTTAATACTCTGATTATCTCATTCCGATATTTTCTCTAAAATCAACCTAAAAATATTAAATAAAGCAGGGAAGTATACAATATGACGAGAAAAAATATGCTCAAGGACATTGAATAACAAATAATCGAGTATCACAAAGTATCTCATTTAACAGATACAAATATCAAATTTGCATATCACACGTCATGTAGAATCTTAACACAGATCTAACACCTCACCAATCATCCCACCTCAACCCGATCCCACGGGTCTCTTGGCTGGCGATGCATCGGCTATTGATTGCCACGACCCCGTCTCAATATCCACAGAACATGATCAATGATATCAAGAACACGATCAATGAGATTAAAATATTCAACGATATTCAATCGAAATTCTAAAATAACGATAACACGAGTTGGAATACAAATCAGAGAATAAATCAAAAAATACTCTTTGCAAAGAGATTTAAGAAGAGCATATTGTATACTATCCCGTACCTCAGAATCATTATGTGAATTCGATAACTTTGATTTCTGTTTCATTTTTCTTCCTCTCGGTTCGAACTAAAAACACCCACCAAGATTTGTTTTCTCGCTCCCTCTCTTCCACCTTTGCTCTCGGCTTAACACACACAAACACATATATATTTTTCTTCCCTTGCTTTTATTCTCTTTCATTCACAGTTTCAACAAACCAGTACAGACACACATTTTTCTACAACGTATTCAATGTTAACTATCATTCATTTACTCAATGAATTTCTTTATTCTTTCTCTCTCTTTCTTTTTCTTTACCTTGTCTTGTCTTTTTTTTTTTTTTTTTTCCAAAGTCTTCGTATGGGTGAACACCAAAGAATCATAAAAGTTGAAATATTTATATTTTACTCCCCTTTGTTTCACTTATTATATATATCAACCACAAAACTTAAATATTCCTTATTCTTTCACATCAAAACTCATAAATATTTTATATTTAACTACTTCTAAAAATTTGGGATCTCGTAGGCTTGGAGAAAAGTAGCAACGTAGAATACAAAACGATTCAAGTTTCTAAATTTTCATAACCGATGTATTTACTATTATTCAATTCTTTGGTTATTTATTGTAGAATTTGAGGGGTCTAACAATTTGGACGAATAAACTTTATTTTAGATTATCATTAAAAAAATATTAAACCTTAATGAAAGTTAAGAATATTCATTGTTGGAGGGTACAGTTGAAAAAAATATTTTTCAGGTATTTTGATATTTTAAAGTAGTATAAATATAAAATATATTAGTATATGCACATGCAAGAATGATTCAATTATATATATGGGGAGCATTGCATTCATATTTAGGTTTAGGGGTGTCGATGGTTCGGGTTACCTACGAGTCCCGTTACCCAACCCGAAAAAAATAAGTTTGAAACCTAATAAGCCCGATAGTTGGCCCGTTCGAACTTAAGCTCGAGCTCAATATCCTTAAAAAGAGATAATGAGTTTGTCCCAAACCCATTATCTGGCTCGAAGCCTAGCCCAATAACCAATCCGAAAAATCCGTTAAAACCTGGCCCGTCAAGCTTTACCCCCCAAGCTCATCTACCAAGCCTAGCTCGCCCACATAGCTCGCCCACCTTTCATTTGAAAAAAAAGTTATACTTTTAGACCATTTAATTTAAAACTTTAAAATAAGTCTCCAATTGTCGAAAATTGAAGTTTTAAAATTTTAGATACTATAAATAATGTATTATTTTCTTTTCCATGTATTAAGTATACAAGTTTTAAAGGGTAGAGTAATGCAAATGATAGATAAGTGAGTAGGTTGGCATGTAGTCATCTCCTAATTAAAAATAAATTATTTATTATTTTATTTTTATCCATTTTAACTCTGCTTTTGATTTAAAAATATAATTTACCCAAATATTAAGGTACAAAAATATTCATTATTTTTAAATAAAATTGTATACAAAAATCCGCTAGTAAGCCCCACCCAACAAGCTCGCCCAAAATGCCCCATTCATATGCCTGGCCAATAGGCTTGTGGGTTGGGTCGTGAGTAGTCTATCCCTACTAAAAGTTTGGGCCGACCTGCCCGATAACTCATTTGGATAAGAGCTTAAGCTTATACTACCTAAGGTCGACTTGAAAAACTTTCGTGAGCCTTGCCCAATAAACTAATTTCTATGAAATTGCAACTTTAATTTGTCCCAAAATCTTAGAATGTTCATTTCATATGCATTTGTCAATTATGTCACTCATATTCTTCTTCTTCTTTTATGTTTTCCCAATTTAGGGGGTTTAATTAAGGAGGTTCTAGAGGAAATAGATAATTTTATCACTCTGAGTATTGAATTTGGAGTCAAGTGATTAGTACAAACAACACAGTAAGATTTTTCTTGGAAATTGACAACACTAATTATATATAAACTGAAATTTTTTCTGGGCATTTTTTTTTATATTTTTCCACTTTTTGCATCTTTAAAATGTGCATGTGACATCAATATTTCATTAATTCTGGGAAACTCACCAACCACATGACATGGTTGCCAAGGGTAAGGTTTGTCCTTGAGATTATTTTGGTAAATATGTTAGTCACTTACTCTAACTCAGCATCATCTCTAGTGATTTAAAAAACAGGAAGAGGTTAAACCGGTTGTGAGTGAGATTTCCAAAGAGGATTTAAACTGTTAAATAAATACTTACTTAAACAATAACAAAAATTGGTTCTATGGTGTAGTGGTTAGCACTCTGGACTTTGAATCCAGCGACCTGGGTTCGACTCCCGGTAGGACCTTTTTAATTCATTTTCTTTCATTTTTATCCTTTTTTTTAGGCCACACGAAGAGGGGGAAGACGAGATTCGCTTAGTAAGAAAAAAACATAGGTTTCATTTCCTCCCTCTCTCAGTCTTACTGTGGAATCCTTCAAATCTTCAACAATGGAGAATTCCCAATACAAAACCCTCGAAATCGTCCAAAAACCCACAAATTCCCGTGTCTTCAACTTGTACATGAATCGACCAAAATTTCGAAACGCCTTATCCCGTGACTTCTTCTCCGAATTCCCCAGAGCCTTGAGTTCCCTCGACCAAAACCCTGATGTCGCCGTCATAATTCTCTCCGGCATCGGCGAAAGCTTCTGCTCCGGCATCGACCTCAAGACCCTAACTTCAATTGTCGCTGGCCTCCATGCCGACCGTGGACGCACCAATGAACGTATCCGGAGAGAAATTAAGGCTTTTCAGGATGCAATAACGGCTATCGAGAAGTGTCGGAAACCTGTGATAGCGGCTATTCATGGGGCTTGTGTTGGCGGAGGGGTTGACATTGCCACGGCCTGTGACATGAGGTTTTGTACGGAGGACGCCTTTTTTTCGGTGAAAGAGGTTGATTTAGCTATCACGGCTGATCTTGGGACGCTTCAGAGGCTGCCGAGTATTGTGGGGCATGGGAATGCGATGGAGTTGGCTTTGACGGGTCGGAGAGTATCGGGTTTGGAGGCAAAGCAAATGGGTTTGGTTTCTAGCGTTTTTGCTTCTAAGGAGGCTTTGAGCAATGGCGTAAGTGCTATTGCTGAGGGTAAGTTGGCCTTGTATTCTCTCCTTTTTATACCAAATTCGTTACTTTTAATTGATTGTTTCCAATTATGGTAGTCAATAGTTTTAAAGCATTGTTGTTTATTTCATGGCAATTTTCCTTCTCCTTGTATGTTTTCCTTTTATTCACTCCTTATTTGATTTGTGTATGCTTATTGCTGATTCAAAGTGAATGTCTATGTGTTACTTCCGCATTGCGTTAGTGCTCAGAAAGCTACTTGCAACAGCAGCAAATTCACAATACGATAGTGCAAATGGAGAAGATTGTTTTAACATTCTTTCACTCGCCAATTGGTTCAGTAATTCAGACAATTCTTTGGAACTGCGTGTAAGTTAGTGTACGCATGACCTGCAAATTAGATTTACTGTAGTTACTTTTGGCCTATATGAGACCAGATACAAAAATTTGCACATAAATTCATAGTTTAAGGTTGTAGTATCGGCTATAGACTAGGAGAACTTTGAGACACATCGATTGTAGCGTTGCATCATGATATCGGGTGATACGACGTAAAAGAAAATGTTGAACAAGACGAGAGATTCAGGTCATACTGTTGGATTGCAGAATCATATCGACTGATTCGACGAAGATAACTCAACAACTCGGGATTGATTTGGATATGATTCGGCCGAGTCGTGCGAGATTCGGGATTTTTACATATCGAGTTTGATACAACTCGGCCAACTCGTATCGATATCGGCATATATTTTGAAACATGCATAAATCAGATGCTAGAAAGTATAGATGCCTTACCTAGCATTTTTTGCCGAGCGGATGAGGAATATAATACTTTGTGTTCAATGATGCGGTTGGTGACTTCTACTAAATATGTGAAGTTTGTTAAATGGGGGGCTACTTTATTGTGGTGCAATAAGAGATTTGAAGTAAGCTGACCTCTATTTGGAGACTTTTAGTTTGATCATGATATAGAAAATTGAGAATTAGTTAAGTTTTGCTTATGTTTAAGGTGGTCACTGAGTAAACAGCTTTATTCTAAAGCTAGTTGTATGTACAATTTTATACATATACTAGCAATTACTCGTGCTTGAAGGTACTACATAATACAAACAAAAATTATCAATTAATATGGACCCACTATTTCTTAAAAAAATTGACAAAACTCCCTCTAAATACATGATTGTTGAAAAATATCAACTAATAAAAGTAGTAATTAGTACAAATTTATATAAAGAAACATGACTAAAAATTCACATATGTGCAAAAGTATTTTACTTGACACTTGAGTACATACAAATATGAAACAAAACTCAAACCATTCTCACCTTTAAATCTACTTCATCTAAATCCAAACATTGATGTTTATCAGTCTTTCCCTACTTGTATTTCTAAGTACTAGTTGTTGTGCACGTGCAAATGCACGTGGACTATTTTGAATTTCAAATATATATTTTTCTTTCTCAACAATTATAAAAAATTCAGCCCACAAGGTTGTAAGAAACTAACTAACCGTAACAAAAAGAGTTCTATTGTAATATTAAAAATGCAATAAATTCGAGTCATTATGTGGGTGTAAAATTAGAAATACGACAAATTCGAGTCTTGTAAATACAACAAATTCGAGTAATTAATACTTCACATAAATATCGAATAATTGTGCAAACAATGAAAGACACTAAACAAGTCTAATCTTGGGATCAAACAACACGCACAAAAAAAAAAAAAACATTGAAAAATCTATTTCTTAAACTGAAAGAGAAAGAAATAAATTTTAATTGAAAATTAGAACAACGTACTAATGACAGGATCATTTGCTTCTCTTATTGACTTCCCTTTACGGAACAACTCAAATAGGAGTATATCCAATATTCTTGTTATTGATACAAAATTCTTTAATATGAAAATGGAGTAAAAGAAAATTCAAAATTTCCTTTTGAATTTTCTAATGTTAGTAAATACCAATAATGTTCAAACTTAAGGTAGACAAAAAGATGTAAAAAAGACATTCTTAACAAGTAAAATGACCAGAAAATCCACACTAAAGTAAAGAATGCATAGTTGATTAGAAAGTATGTTACATGAATTTTCTCTATCAATCAAAATCAAGTCAAAAAGTCATAATGCCCCTAGTTTTCTATACAAATCACTAAAACAAGTACATGGAAAAATTGAAGGAGTGAACCAAGATATCATGGTAGCTAGTGGAAAACAGAGGTTGTCATCGTGGCTACTAGAATTGACGGCTTCGTGGCTTGCTGGGCATTGTCTCTGAGGAACGATGAACCTTATGAAAGCTTCAAGGTCATTGGTAGTGGAATATATACTCTAGAAGTCTAAACCAAACGTTAAATAAATTATTTTTTGATTAAAACTATTTATTGTAGAAGTTTAAGAGTTAAAAGTTAAATTTAGGGAAAATTTCAGTCACACTTTTTTTAGTTTATCATATCTTTAAGAATACCCCTTCTGTTATTCAAAACATCACTAACAACCCCTGTCGTTAAACTACTATTTTTTTTAAAAAAAAAATTCATCTAAAATACCAAAATTGTCCCTACATAAACCCCAAACAATGTTTCTACATAAAATTCGAGTCGATTAAAGTTAATTTTTTTACATATTAAAATTCGAGCCGATTGAAATTCGTTTTTCTATATATTAAAATTTGAACTTATTAAAATTCAATTCGAGTTAATTAATTTTTTTTTACGTATTAAAATTTGAACCTTTTAAAATTCTCTTTTTTACATATTAAAATTCGAACTGATTTGAGCTCAACCTGAGTTGTTAGTGTCGATTAAAATTTGATTTGAGTTGATTGAAATTTATATTTTTTTTTACTTATTAAAATTCGATTTAAGTTGATTAAAATTCATTTTTTACGTTTTAAAATTTGAGTTGATTAAAATTTATATTTTTTTACGTATCGAAATTTAGGCCGATCAAAATACGATGTGAGTTGATTAAAATTTGATTCGAGCCGATTAAAAATGAATTTCAATGGGTTCAAATTGAATTTTAATCGATCTAAATTCTAATGTGTAAAAAATTTCATAAAATAGAGAGGTCTAATTGAAGATATGTCTATCTAGAGTGGGCGTGGATGAAGTTTTCTTAAAATATATCATGGGTAATTTAATAAAATTGTATTCTAGTTAAGATCTTTAATTTGTCAAGGGGTGTTAGTGAAGATTCAGAAAATAGAGGGGGTGTCTTTGAAAATATGATAAATTAGGAGTGTGGCTAAAATTTTTCCTCAAAGTTATATAGAAGTTTAAAAGTTAGAACTGAATGAAAAGAACAAAAATATAGTTTAATTTTTTGTGGAGATGAAGTCATGGAGAATCGGAAAAGTCTTCTTAATTATGGGTATTTTAATGTAGAATAGAAGATGAGAATGAAAGAAAGTGAAGATTCGGAGGGTAATTGTTTGTTGGTAATTAATGAGAGTAATTAATTTAACACTAATCTGATTTTATACAATTGTTTGAGAATAATGATGTTAAAAAAATATTTTTTGCTTTAGTGGCTTTTTAAAAGTAGTATAGATAGATAGATATAGATATATTGTCATTGAATTTGTAGGTTTCTTTGACGGTACACAAAAGGTCAATTTTTTATGATTTAAACCATGTGTCTTCATATATTTATTTAAAGACAAAATAGAAATTCAAAATTTTTTTGCATTTAGATCAAATTATTAGTGTGAGGTATAATTGTCCTTATAATTTTGTTTAAGGGCAAAAGAAGAATTCAAAAGTTTTTCATCTAAGATACTTTTATTAGTACTATAGATATAGATTTGTCAAATTCCATATCCATATAACCTTCTATGTACCAAAGCAGTTCATGTTCAGCAAACATTGCTCGCTATGCAAGACATGGATCAATTTATACCAACATAACATATTAAAAACAAAGAAACTTAGCTGTAAACATACGCCTGCCTTAATGCAACTAGTTACCAACTACAGGAAAATATATTAATCCATAGCTGCAATAGCAAAATAACAACCAATAAACCAAACAGCCAAAGTCTCGCATCAAATATAAACCCATAATAAACAATATCCACCAACGAACTTGAACCTTTAAAAAAAATGAATTTTGAGCAGAAAACATTGAATAAATAAAAGCAATTAAAAGAAACATCAAGTTCATAAATCAAAACCTTGAAATAAATATAGAATCTTCCATCAACTATTAATTTTGGTGAACAAGTAAGACCCCAGTTAGTTAATGTAATTGAAATTGATTAAATTTAGTTCAAGGAGTGTTCAAATGGGTGAAAATTTAAACAAAACTGAATAGAAATATTACACCAAAAGTTGTGATGGCAAACTGGCAAACATGTATATTGCTTCCTCTATGAGATTCTCCCGTGTCATTTCACATAACCAAAACTAAACCTGCATCATGAAAGCAATAGAATAACCCAGTGTTTTGAAAAGCTCGCCTAGGCGAGAAGCGAAGCGAGGCGAGGCGAGCTTATCTCGCCTGGAGGACCCCAGACGAAGTAAACGTGAGCGAAGCGAGAAAAAGCGAAAAAGCGAAAAAGCGAAGAAGCGAAAAAAACGAAAAAGCGAAAAAGCGAAAAAGCGAAAAAGCGAAAAAGCGAAAAAGCGAACGCTTTATTATAAGAGACGATTCTGTTTCCCTTTTTTTTTTTTTTTTTTTTTTCAGGTTAGTAGTCTCTTTTATTTTTTAATCACTAATAATTTTTTTTTTAAACTATCGCTGGTCTATTTTTTTTTTAATAAACAATGTTTCGAACAAAACACATTCCTTTTTTTTTTTGTGTTGCTGAATTCATTTAGAATATTTGTGGGATGTGGGAGTCAGGCGACTGCATGACAAAATTATGATAAAGAAAGGAAGCAGGAGTATCAGGAATGGGGGTAAATAATAGTCTTCTACAAAGAAATGTCTCTGATATGTCTTGGTTATACTTTTCCCTTTTCTTATATATATACAAATGGTACCAAAAAGTGGTCTATGCTTATACCATGTTTAATTATTTTAGTACATGTGAAATGTGCCTCTGTTCTGCTTTTTTTATTCAGTACATAATTACATATGAAATTGTTTACAATTGATTCTGCTCCTGTCATGATCATTGTGTTTCTGTTTTTTTTTAACTCATTCTG